TGTGTGTGTGTGTGTGTGTGTGTGTGTGTGTGTGTGTGTGTGTGTGTGTGTTGCCACGTGGGGCCTACATCTATGTGTGTGTGTGTTTGTGTGTTTCTTTACCAGTCCTCTCGACCATAAGGCAGGCCAAAATATTCACTTTTTAAAAAAATCGAGCCGGCTAGATAAAAACAACTGAATATATATACATATGTCTTTCAATATCGCAAAAATTAGGGTGCCTGCAAGCAAATAGACTAATTTTGAGGTGCTGATTTAAAAAATTGGGTTATTTTTATTTTTTTTTAGATACGTCCGATATTTAAATTTTTTGTTGATCCATGTTTGAACCTCCATTAGGCAACAGAAGTGCAGATGCCGCGACGGTGTCTCAAATTTTGCTCTGAGAAGCGGTTACTGAAACTCCTCAAAGGTTCTGCAACAGTTTCCGAGGCAGTATTCTGTCTCATGAGAACAGCTAGCGGGCAAAAAGAAAGCAGCGGTTTCCAAACACAGCCGACAAACTTTTTCTGTTGCCGTTCCGTCGCCGCACACTATTCAAAGTGAAACGGCCTATAGACAGGTACGATAATCACTTCTGTTGCCCGAGCGTGAAAAAAAATCTAATCTGTATATGAATACTTCGTAATCCCTTTTTCAGAAGTACAAAATTTAAGATCCAATCACATTGAAAAAATTTCCGACGCACGCATAGCCACTACTACTTGCAAAATTAATCATATCTGTTTTCACTCATCACTATTCACATTTTTAGTGTACCCATACCCTAATTTGTTGCCTATGGTAGCACATGAAAAGTTGTCAGAGACAAAGGAAGTGTTTCAGAGACCAAAGCTGCAGAACATTCAAGAAGAGTAAAATTCCACGTTATTCTCTCTTCAAAGGTGGTCAAGACAGGATTGTTCCAGTTCAAGAGAACATAACCCTACAGCCCAAAAATGTACAATGAAAAGAATGATATCCTGGAAATGGAGTTATACAAGAGCCTCACTGACCATCTTATACTTCACGACCTTTAGTACTACAGATGAACCCCATAAACTAAACTAAATTCTTAAGGACTAGAAAACAAGTTGGATTTAGCACTTCCAGAGCTATCCTTGAAGTTGACAACCAACATATTAATTATTAGTCGCGCATATATTGAACGACAGGGGCTTAACCAAAACAAAACTTCAAGAAATCCTGTAAAAAGCAACTTTTAATGAAGATGAGAAGTCACACTTACCGCACTCAAAACACCAGCTTTGGACATCTGACCAAGCACGTCTGGTGGTCGCCCGTTGATTAAATACACAAGATTCTGGAGCTCATCAAAGAGGAGTTTCAGCCTAAATCTCCTCTGACGCTCTCTGAGGAAAAGTGTTCTTTCAAATGAGTCTGGGACTAACATTTCAACACTATAATATATATCTTATTTACAGTGGAATTCACATGTAAAAAGGATGGGTGTTAATATATAATAATAATGCCTTGCCTTGCATGCAAACAGAGAGAGGTTGAAACCCAGACATGGTTGATAGGCTATTGAAAGTACTTATCTCAATTTGTCAGTAGTGGTGGTGTACCCCACACAGCCCAGGCTAGTCCTTGCAGGCAGTCAAAGCATTTGAAAGCACTATTCAGTCAAATATGAAAAATCACGTGTTACTGTAATAAAAATTTGCTGCATCACCAATGGGTCCCCC